ATGAACTTTCTCGGCCAATGCAGGGATCAAACACCCGACCTCCAGGCTAGCGAGCCAGCGTCTTACCCACTTAGCTACGTGATCCCCCACATTTTCAGGAGAGTATCGGGTGGTCCAGATGGCAGGTATACTATTTAAAGTGGAATGATTAAAAAGGTACTGTACCTCTATCACTAAAGATGCATTATGTAAGAGGCCCACTCGGCAAAAAATTCGGCCCATTTACCTATCAAGATTAAGCCCCCCCCCCTCCACATACCCCAGCCTGTTCTGCGCGCCTGGTTATTATTGTTCGACACATACACAGAAATGCAATTTGTTTGTCAGTATCCATGGTAGATAGGTGGATTTATTTGGAACAAACATATACAACATAATAAATGAAATATTTATTTATTTATAGTGCAAAAAACTAAGTGCAAAAAACTACAGCCCTGCAATTTTTAATCCGACCTTGTACGTGGCTCTTATATATGCTGTGTTGAACCGCATTTAAACAAACACAGATCACGTGTGTTAAAGGAGCTAAATCGCTAACATTTGGGACCTAGAAATTCACAAAAGTGGGACGCAAAGCATATAATACTGTAATATGAATGTATATAAACTGATTTACATTTAATGGTTTCCGTTTTTACTCCAATTTCAAATCAGTTATGTTCGGCGAAATAAGTCAGCAATCTCAATCGAGTGCAAATTTCTAGCGTCTAGTTATTCTAGTCTACATAACTCCATTTGATTTGGTGCAATGTGTCTAGCCTCGTCCCTCGAGTCTCTCAATACAACTGGGGCTGAAGCGCATTATGGTACACGATTCGTGTACCAATGTTAAAAAAAATAATTTATCTTAAATATCGGATATCAGAAGCTCATATTTTCCCGGTAAGTTTACATCATCAATGTTGATTTAAATTGACCAATAATTCGTGTTTTCGATGTCGAAGATTTTGGAGGATTTTGAGTTACGGACTTAGGTCCTTTAAATTTGATTAATGTATGTGTCGTGCATGGTACGTATTGTGCGCTGCATTATGAGCTTATTACATCTATATATAGACCCGATTTACAACCAAAACAAATTGCATAACTTCACGGGAGGTCAAAAGATATAGCGTACGCCTATGGTAGCCTAATATTTGCTTACCCAGCTTTACAAACGTGGCAAACATGGTTTCATTTTCCCCATTTCAATGTAAAAGTTATCAATTTCCCGATATATTTCTGCCTCATTATTAGAAAAATAACGTGAGCTGAACGTGCAAATATTGACACGGCTTAAAGATGTAGGACACTTTTTCTATGGAACACCGTGTGTGACATGCAGTAATCGCGAGAAACTGAGCGGCTCCAGTGCTAAATGAAATGAAATGAAATGGGGTTTAACGTTCTACTGTTCTGCTCCTAACTGGGCTAATGAAGACGGGCATACACCATACAGTGTGCAATTAGGGAAATTTTGCCATGACAGCGGCACTACGGCCTACTCGTATATCGAATTACAACTGTCAGGGATCTTCTAGGTGCACGCCAATGTGTACACGGGACCTCGGGAGAACAACGCCGAAAAATCTGGATGAACTTTCTCGGCCAATGCAGGGATCGAAGACCCGCCAGGCTAGCGAGCCAGCGTCTTACCAACTTAGCCGCCGTGCCCCGGCCCCGCCCATCTCAAGTGCAATATTTCGCTCGATGACAGGGGACTATGGGAGAAAACATATTTTTAGTCTTTAGTTCGTTTTCCAGGTACGCGTTTTCGCGGCGTTTCCCCGCGGGTTTTCGCCGGTTCCATGGAAAACAGGCCTCATTATGTGGTGTGGTTTGACATAAAATTAAAGAGAGAGAGAGAGAGAGAGAGAGAGAGAGAGGGGGGGGGTTAACGTCCACTCGACACAAACTAGGTAATTTCGGGGCTAACACATGGTTCAATTTTATTTCAATAATTCGCTTGCGCAAAGGGGTCTTTAGCAGTGGGAGGAAACCGGAGGACCCGTAGAAAACCCACGAGGTTGGACAGGCGACCCTACTCCTTGTCATGTGAGAAATGGGGATATTTTAAATAGGGAAAACAGGCGATATCAACCTTTTGTTCAAATTAAACATACATTTGCAAGAGCTAAATCCGCCTATTGTAGTTCTTTCTTTAGGTCTAAAATGTTATATAAACTATTAATTAGACATTTATTAACACGAAAAGACAATAATCAACTCTCGCTGCCATCTTAGGTGTCCGATTTTCATTGGATTTGAATCCGATCTGCTGTTCAACGTCCGTTGATGATTAAACGCAAAAGTGGATAATCGAGTCGTGTTAATTATCGTGACAGCGGTAACATTGACAATCGAGGCTACGGTGATTTTAAAGTATGGTTTTCTCGGCTTAGAGTGAAGCAATTTCAGCATATTCTATTTAAATTATCTATTATAGCGCAAACTGCCAGCTCTTTATCTAATCTTCCATAATGTATCTTTAAGTGGGGCTGTTTACATCCTACAGCAATGTTAACAGTGATAATTTAAATGCAATATCACTGTTTAATTGGACCCCTCCCCCACCCCCACACACACTTCTTAAATGAATGTCCGGGGCCGTACACCCTCTTCCTCTGTTCCCTGTCCACGCCACCAGTGCCCGAATTATCACCCGATGTTTTTATTAAGTATAGAATGAATGAAAACAAGGGAAAGTACGGACGATTTGAATTTTTTCTCGTTTTCCCTTATCTAGTGAGGGGGGTTGGATGGCTGAATGGTTAGCGTGCGCGCGCTGTATCATAAAGTCATTGAGTCGACTGGCGTGGTTTCGAATCCCCGGTTGTACGTGGCAAGGAGTAGGGTCGCCTGTCAAATCTCGTGGGTTTTCTCCGGGTCCTCCGGTTTCCTCCCACTGCTAAAGACCTCTACGCGCAAGCGAATTATGTAAATAAAATTAAACCATATGTTATTCCCGAAATGACCTAGTTTGTGTCGAGTGGACGTTAAACCCCATTTCTCTCTCTTATCTAGTGGGTGGTTAAGGCGCTGGCTCTAGTGGTTTAACACGTGCGCGTGAAATCACAAGGTCTGACATTGATTCAAGTGGTGTGGTTTCGATTCCCCGCTTAAACATGACAAGGGAGTAGGGTCGCTTGTCCAATCTTGTGGGGTTTCTCCGGATACTCCAGTGTCTATCCACTGCTAAAGACGCCTACGTGCAAACGAATTATTGAAATGATTTAGTTTGCAACGAGTGAATGTTAAGCTAGCCTGGAGGTCGGGTGTTCGATCCCTGCATTGGCCGAGAAAGTTCATCCCGATTTTCCGACGTGGTTTCCCCTTGTCAGTGTTGCAGGACAGAGGGCCTGGCAAGGACAGCTGTCTAGTCCTTCGGATGAGACGAAAAACCGAGGTCCCGTGTAAACATTGGAATGCACGTAAAAGATCCCTTGGCAGTTGGAATTCGATATAAGAGTAGGCGATAGTGCCGCTGCCCGGGCAAAATTTCCCTCATAGCACACTGTATGGCGTATGCCCGTCTTCATTAGCCCAGTATACGAGCAGAACAGTAGGACGTTAAACCCCATTTCATTTTATGTCATTTCATTTCTTATCTAGTGACATTCAATTACTTTGTTGAATTATCAGATATCCTCTCACAGTCTCATATAACAACTTCGAAGGAATAATTAGTGAGCAGAAATTCGCCCGTGTATCTGTTATCACTCGTTATTTCAGTCAGTTATATAGAAGGACAACTCGCGTTCGTCACTTCCCTTTCTTGAAATCTTCATAACGCATCTATCGTAGCAATGATCTCTGTGTTAAAATTGTATTTGGAACGGGTTTAACCAGTTCTATTGCATATGTGATAATGACTGACACCAATATTGTCCTTCAATAGTTTATATAACATTGAGGCCTAAAAAAAGACCTCAGTAGGCAGATTTAGGTCTTGCATAGTGTATGTTTAACTGAAAATATTTTAAAATAAACCTTGGCTAAATATACATTATGACGTCACATTAATAATGACGTCATTGTAATTTAAACATACATTATGCAAGAGGTAAATCTGCCTATTGCAGGTCTTTCTTTAGGCCTGAAATTTTATCTAAATTATTAATTAGACATTAATTAACTTATCCAGACCATAATTAACACTCGATGTCATCGCTAGCCTGCGAGATTTACTGGATTATGATCCGATTTGCTGCTTAACTTTCATTCATGATTAAATCATGAAATGGATAATCGAGACTACACTTTTTATCGTACCGACTTTAGTACTGATGATCCAGGCTAGGCCGAAATTCAATCGCTAAATTCTCCGATCAGAGTGGATTAATTTGACTGAAATTTTCAGCAAATGCCCTTTACATTATCTAATTTTTAACTATTATAGTGAGAACTGCCAGCTCTTTATCTTATCTCCCATAATGTATCTTTAAATAATATGAATGAAAAATTAGAACGGATGAAAATACGGAATAATAATATTTTATTACAAATATTCCATTACAAAAAGTTGTACATGTTCATATAAAGTCATATCTCATAACATACACACGAAACACGCAGGATATACCGTTATAATATGACTTGTTTTGGTATCCCGTGAATAAAATATTGTTTAAAAAAAATAAAATAACAGTGTAATGTAATTGCGAAAATGGTGTTCCATATTATATATTGACTAGAATAATAACGAAGTAGGGCATTCGTGGTTTCTACTGTCCGAATAGTTCAATCATCTTCGGTCAAGGTCGCAATGAAAACAATACAGCTAATTGATAAACATACGGACTTACACAACACTACTCATATTGACACCCAAACCTGATGTCGTCATATTTAACAATAAAAGCCATTTTAAAATGTTTTGTCATCATTATCTCGCAGAATTATCCACTTCCCGTCATTTTTAATTCGTTAAATTAAACCATAGGAACAAGAATTATACATGAGTCAAAGATTTATATATAGCGAATCATGTGATCTTCAAGGCTCAAGCAGGCAGAATATGCACGCGGACCTGTAAGAGGGCGTTTATTGATGAAATGTTAGTTGCGTACATATACGTAACATTGAACGTGTAAATGTACTTTTGTATCTGTATTCAGAGCTAACATCTATGATAGTAGTGTAAAGTAAACAGACCGCTCTGTTTACTTTCATATTATCAATGTGGCCGTCTAGTGAGGGACGTATGACCTAGTATATATATGGTTGATCGAATAGTCGTCGTTTGTGGCATAGCATATTTGATAACAACACAATTCGCTAACCTAAATTTATTCTCGTCAATGTTGTGGAGACGATAAGCTGCATAGCTTACAGTGTATATAGATATGTGATTAGATATCTTGACCTGTTGGTTGTGTAGAGTTAGTTAGTGGTTATTTAACAGTACAGGCAACAGGAAGGGAGAATCTAGCTATAAATAAAACTGGTTTAAATTCCCGAATCGACACACACTTAACAACAGGTATGTATTTACAATTTTCATTTATTTAGATTTTAAGTCAGGTCTAGGTCGGAATCAGGACCAAACATGTGGACTGGCTTGGTCCTTCTGTCCGCATTAGGACCAAAAATGCGGTCTGGCTTGTCCCGGACTCAGGAATGAGATATTAGGAATACGAGAACGTTAAACCGTGTCCTACGTGTCCGGTCCAAATGGCTGTAAACAGTTGAGTAAAGAATATTAAACGGCATTCATGTTTGGTGTCACTCCCATTTTTGTGTTATAGGTTTTAATCTTAAATGCCTGGTTCTAACCCTAACCCTAACCCTAATAGAAAGTATAAGTTCCATGTGGACACAGTACGGTCGCCTATTAACCAATGAAGTCGCCCAACCCCCATCTTTCCATATATTTTATCTTTACATACGGTTAATAAAGAAATACTGGGTCTTAGAGTCTATGCCTGGCATCAACAAGTAAAGAAAATTTTTTCTGTATTTATGTAAGGAAAACTCTTAACCCATTAATAACAGTTTATATTATGTTATAAGATCGCAGTCATTTGTTGATATTCCTATAAAAGAAAAACTCTCGCTAGTCTGGAGGTCGGGTGTTCGATCCCTGCATGGCATTGGCCGAGAAAGTTCATCCAGATTTTCCGGCGTGGTTCTCCCTTGTCAGTGATGCCGGACGGAGGGCCTGACATGGACAGTCGTCTAGTCGTTCGGATGGGACGGAAAACCGAGGTCACGCGTACAAATTGGCGTGCACGTAAAAGATCCCTTGGCAGTTGGAATTCTCGATTTAAGAGTAGGCCATAGCGCCGCTGCCCGAGCAAAATTTCCCTCATAGCACACTGTATGGCGTATGCCCGTCTTCATTAGCCCAGGTTAGGAGCAAAACAGTAGGACGTTAAACCCTATTTCATTTCATTTATAAAAAACCCACAGCTAATATTATGATTTAAGATCATAATTTTCTGTTGTAATTTAATATTCCTATTAAAAAAACCCAGCTTATATTATGATTTAAGATCCTAGTCTTTTGTTAATATTCCTATAAAAAAACACAGCTTATATTATGTTATAAAATCCCAGTCTTTTGTTGATATTCCTATAAAAAAAACATAGCTTATATTATGTTATAATTACATAATCTTCTGTAAGTTAATATTCCTAAAAAAAACTAGAAGGGTACATGTATATGGTGTCACTTTATAAAACTCCCTTTTCACGTACATGAACAAGTGTTGTCCAATCGGCTATCATGTATTCATAACATTGGTTTATATTGTGTACATATATTCTTTATGTTTAAAAATCTACTTTAATCATCCCGTATATCTTGTCATAACTCTTCCAGAAAAGGGTGCGCTCACTCTCTCTCTCTCTCTTCCAAATGAAATGAAATGAAATGAAATGGGGTTTAACGTCCTACTGTTCTGCTCCGAAATGGGCTAATGAAGACGGGCATACGCCATACAGTGTGCTATGAGGGAAATTTTGCCCGGACAGCGGAACTATCGCCCACTCTTATATCGAATTCCAACTGCCAAGGGATCTTTTACGTACATTCCAATGTATACACGGGACCTCGGTTTTTTGTCTCATCAAAAGGACTAGACAGCTGTTCTGTCAGGCCCTCCGTTCATGATGACAGTTGACCCCAGTCAACAACCAACATTAGATAATTTATTCCTTTATATGGCTGGATCTTGTCAAAACCTGGATGGTGTCTAGGACTGCCATGACCATATTTTTCGACATAACACTCGTGTCCCACCACCCTCAGGCCATTATATATGTACCCTAGGGTCTTAGTACTATATGGGGTCTTATCGCCAATCACGTTCTGACCAGAATCAATCGTTCATGAACACAACTTGACGAATCTTGCCGGAAACCACGCAGTTGTCCCAGACTGATTTAGTCAATCGGTACTCTTCATTTATTAAGGGTTTAACAGACATTATTGACCTGAGAAGGTACTGATTTAGTCAATCGGGATTCTTTATTTACTTAGGGTTTAACAGACATTATAAACCTGTAACGGTAAATCTCTTTGATCTTTGGGGTATATTCTATGCTCGGAATAACTTGCGGTCTGAAAGTCAGGAGAGGCTTTGGATATATACAGGGAAATTTGGGGTTATTCTTCCGAAAGTTTTTCTTTAAACCTGTAACGGGTTATTCTTCCAGGGTAGGGTTTTTTGTTCAATAAGAAAACATGATATAAGGTTTTTCTTGTGGGAATTCTGGGTTATTCTCATCTAGCGTACCTGTAAACAGACGGTTTATAAGCAAGATAAAGTCCTCGACTTCGGTTATGCTGGGGACGAAAGACTTCATAAAAAACCCTCGACAGAAAAACCTCGGCCTACCGGTCGCGGTTTTTCTTTCACTCGGTTCTTCAATCTTTCTTTCCCCAGCATAGCCTTAGTCTCGTGCTATATCCTACACTTATTGACCTGAGAAGGTACTGGTTTAGTCAATCGGTACTCTTCATAGATTTAGGGTTTAACAGACATTATTGACCTGATAAGGTAACTTAAATTCTAGGGTGACCCACCATAAATAAATATCTCCAAATATCTCGACAATTACGCCACAATATTTATATATATGCCAAGCCTCAAATCAGTTTCACACAATTATAGTCACTAAATAAACGATCATGTTGTACTTAATTAGCTATGACCATTAATCATCTATAAATAATAGACTGAAAACTGGTTCCAAATGTCGTCCATAACATCCAGACACTTTTGAGTAAAAGATAGGTTATGTGCCCTTGTTTTGAAATTAGTCTCGCTTAACCAGTCTATCGACCATTCTACGTCTGATTGACAGGTCGGGATAATCAAGACTACTTTTTTACGAAACATAACAGAAAGCTAGAACAAGAAATTGAATTTAGAAATAAGCACTTTAGACAACTCAACAATTGTTTTAAGAAACTTGTAAAAGTAAAATGAAACTACTGCTAGTATCATGTTCCTGCTAACGAAAGTGATTCAGAGATATTATTTGTACTAAACCAAAAGATGCCGCTCTTTACGGTACAGTTAATGATAAATCAATTTAAAAAATAAAACAAACGTAATTTCTAAAGCTGCTGTAATAACCAAGAAGTTAAATTTTACTGCTATTCAAAATCGTCAACAATAGATTTTTTACGGCTGTAATAGTTGATATATTTGTAGAGAATTGCACGTGCCATGGCTATTTATCGACTCAAAGAGAGTGCGGGGTAGTCAGAAATCAGTTCGAGACACGCAACTGAAGCGTGCACATTTAGCCGTGTCGAGACCAACTTTCTGTAGAGTGCACGGGTCATCCTATAAATTGATAACAGTCGTGACCCATAATCTATTTGTGGAATTACGGTAATAGAGCAATAAACTATAACACATACTTATGGAAACAGCAACTAATTTATTTGAGCGACGTTTCCAAGAATATTCTCTCGACGTTAGCAAGCTAAGTCTTGAACCACTGATTATTTTGTGTGGGAGGGTGGGGTGTGGGGGATGAATGATGAAACATTTGGCAATCTTCTTGGATTGTGTAAGTGCAATGGTTGAGTAGGGGGCGGGTCTGTCAAATTACCATGGTAATATATATTATTATCTAGTATCTTGAAGGTACTTGTAGACTCGATTTCCTGAACTGACAGACTTCCAAAAACCTGAAAAGATACAAATACAAATTCTCGTGAATTAGCATTCGAGTCTCGAAACATCAAATTGGGAAGAGTTCTAATTGAAATCTGGTAAATTTAGATACAATGTTAAGATGATATTGTGGAAGTCTAAACAGCAAAACGTCTAGTAAAATTACGTCTAGCCAATCTGAACTACACTAGAATCTGGAGGAGTTGTTACATTAAGGGCGTTTTGGTTGAAGTGTGGGATTAGCCAATGAAACGGTCTGTTGCGGCGATTTCTTGGTGTTCCATGCACGGAACTATGGGTAAACCACAAGAAACGTCAAAGCTCATTGATTAATTAATTTCTGACGTATTAGGGTCAAAAGCCGCTCGTACGACGCCTGACACAACCTTCCAGTACAATTTGTGAGATCTTCATGTAGTGTAGGCCATCGAAAGTATAAAAAAAACGAAACGAAATAGAGATCTGTATTTTAATCAGATTGGTTTCTGTAGCAAGCTTCGTCAAATTGCAGTCATGAACGGATGATTCCGGTCACAAACTAAGGAAAAAGAGGAGAGAACGTGCTTAAGAACAGACACCAAGCTACTCGACCGACATTTTAAGTCCTAAATCGACGATTTTAGTTGTAAACACTAAATATATTTCGAGAATTTTGAGAAATATTTACTTTGCTTTCATTTAATAAAATTGAAAGAGTTAATTAGTCTTTGTGTGTATGACAGATGTGAACCGGAGTAGGACCGCATTACAAAACAGTATCTTAAAGGTTGGATATGGCGGCCATTTAGGGCAGAGATTTATTCTCGAAGTATGAAGTAGATGGGTCTCTGTGTGATGGGTTCCATGGTGCTAGTACCACGTGGCAGAAATTGTTATCTCAAAGTTCAATCGAATCGTGTAAAATCATGAAAACAGTATATCAACGTTGACCAACATTACTCATTTGTTTTAAACATATTTCATTGTACCAGAATATAAATACGGTACAAACGGATTCGGACAAAAGATATCGAAAACTTACCGATAACCTCTCCACATACATTGTAATTGACATTTATAATAGTACAGAGACAGAGAGAGAGAGAGAGAGAGAAATGGGATTTAACGTCCACGCAACACAAACTAGGTCATTTCGAGACTAACATATGGATTAATTTTATTTCAATAATTCGCTTGCGCATAGGGGTCTTTAGCTGTGGGAGGAAACCGGAGGACCCGGAGAAAACCCACGAGGTTGGACAGGCGACCCTACTCCTTGTCACGTACAACCGGGGATTCGAAACCACGCCAGTCGACTCAATGACAGACTTTATGATACAGCGCGCGCACGCTAACCATTGAGCTATCC